AGCCCCCCCCCCCCCGAGTTAGGAGGGAGGCCTGAGTATTCACGCTGATCCCTTCTCTGCTCAGAGAGTGGACACTGAGCGATGCTGGCTGCTCCCACTCAGCTCCCACCCCAGTTGGCTTTGATTCTGCCTCTCTGGTCCTCACCCTCCTCCTTTGTGCTCCATGAAGAATAAGACAATGGCTCAGCCAACTGGCTCAGTGGTTGAGTGTTGGTCTATGAACAAGGAGGTCACGGTTTGATTCCTGGTCAGGGCACATGCCCGGGTTGCAGGCTTGATCTCTAGTGGGGGGCATGCAGGAGACAGCCAATCGATAATTCTCTCTCATCATTGGTGTTTCTACCTCTTTCCCCCTCTCCCTGCCTCTCTGAAATAAATTAAAACATATCTATAATAATAAAGGCATAATATGCTAATTAGACCAGACATCCTTCTGGATGACCTTTCGGAAGAAGTCGGGGCTGCAAGGGAAACCCGGGTACCGGGTGCCAGAGGGAAGCCGGTGCCAGTAGCTGGGGGAAGGCCTACTCTTGCACAAATTTTGTGCATCAGGCCTCTAGTCCTATATAATAAAGAGCTAATATGCTAATTAGACTGGAACAACTGTCCGGAATGACCTTCTGGAACAACCCATAGGTGGGGGGTGGGGCCGTGGGGCCGCAAGGCAGCCAGGGGAAGAAAGGCCTACTCTTGCACCAATTTTGTGCATCGGGCCTCTAGTATATATAGAAAAGAGAATAAGACAGTGGACTGGGGAGAGTTAAAGGTTGGGGCAGCAGACCTGGATTCAGTGTGACTATGCCATCTCACACTGGCCCACCCTTTGCCCAATGGGCACCATAGGTCCCCAGAGAGAATGGCTTGTCCCCGCGACACAAACATTTTTTCTTAGTCTGAAATCCCTCTTTTTTTCTTCTTAGCCTTTTTAATCCTCACCCAAGGATATTTTTCCGTTGAATTTTTTTTTTTTTTAAGAGAGAGTGGGAGAGAGAGGGAAAGACAGAGAGAAATATTGATGCGAGAAAAACACATTGACTGGCTGCCTCCTACAGGAGCCCCAAGCAGGGCCTGGGGAGGAGCCTGCAAACAAGGTATGTGCCCTTGGCTAGAAGAGAACCCTGGACCCTTTGATCCGCAGGCCAACAATCTATCCACTGAGCCAAACCAGCTAGGGCTCTTCTTTCATCTCTCCTCCTCTCTTCTCTGTAGCCCTCACCCTCTACTTCTTTCCATCCTTCCCTCTGGCCAGTCCTCACATCTTAATTTCCTAGGACAGTTTGAGAACAACAGGGAACCCAAAGAGTTGGTGGTAGGAGTGGGGCACAAGTCATTATTTCCTTACTTCCTGAATGGAAGCAACGCAAACCCTCCTCTGTCTAGAGCAGCGGTCACCAACTGGTGGTCCGCAGACCACTGGTGGTCCGTGAGGTCCGAAAGGTTGGTGACCACTGATCTAGAGGGACTTGAAGTAGACTGCCCCCCAAAGGAGAAAGAATGAGCCAGAGGGAATAAGCTTAGGTTCTCCTCCCGCCCTTTGGCACAATGAAGCTCCATACGGAAGCCTGAGTGCAGAAACAGAACAGGGCTCCAGCTTTACAAAATAAAGTGTTTGTTTATTATGAAATTAGAGATGGAGGCTCCTCCCCATCCTCCCTCTTTCCCCTTCCCCAGCTGCCTCCCCATTTCCTTCCCCTCCCCTCCCGCTGGGGCCTGGGAAGCACACAGACAATGCCCAGAGCTGGGATGCCAACAGCCTGGCAGAGCTCCAGGGAGGCAGCCAAGTGTGTGTGTATGTGTGGGGTGGTGCTGGAGCTCTCCCCTGGGGGTGGGCTGGCTTCCTTTCTCTGCTGGAGGCCAGGAGGGCCATGAGTGATGGATGGAACCATGCGGGAAGGTCTGTAAAGACAGGAGAGCCTAGTTAGAGGTAGTGAGTGGGGGGGGGGGTCGGGGGGGCTTCAGGCCACCTGTGCCCCACACAATCTCAGGGCACTGACCTGGGGCCGAACATCCTCTGCAGGAAGATGGGCAGCAGTGGCTGGAAGTTTCTCTTGCTTTTGGGATGGACAACGGCAAAAAACAGAAATCCAGTCACAGGGACCCAGAGAGAAATGGGGCAGATGTGGGCAGGAGACAGACACAAGCATGTGTGCGGGGCAAGGGAGACAGAGAGCGTGTGAGGTTTAGAATCCAGAGACAAAACAGCCACGGAGAAGGTGGAATCACAGTGACAGAACAGAGATTCAGTGGGAGCCACACAACCCAGGCCCAGACAGAGTTCCAGGGACAGGGGTCCCCGGAGAGAGACACAGAAGACTCAGGAGGAGGGAGGGAGGAGCGGGGTGCCTGGGGGATCAGGGACCAGGGACGGGAAAAGGCTTGGGGCCCCTGGGCTGCTGCCGCCTGCTTGGACACCGGGGGTTCACTCAGAGGGCCGGTGTGGGCTCCCCCACCATGGCCG